GGTATTAGATGTGTAACACACAGCAAGGAAATTGAAGCCCTTGCTTAATCCCAAATAAGAGAGATTCAGGGCGGGTGGCTTCCAACGTGAGTAAGCAGCCAAAAAGAGAAGAAGAGAGGAGTTAAAAAAAAACTAAACTAAAAAGAAAGGAAAGCAAACCAAAAGCAAGACGATGAGAAAACCAGCTGTTGGCTTTCTTTGAGCTGTTCCTTCTAATCTGGTTGGAGTAGGACTTTAATCACATTGTTCTCTCTTGTACTTCTACTGAGTAATACAACTAAATCATGTAAGCCCTCCACCGACAAGGAAACAGCACAAACACCCACATGACTCATTTCATCCACAAATTGGCATAAAATAGGTTTTTAAAGGCAAAGAAATGAGAGAAAAAAAACGACACTCTCTTACATCAACAAAAATATTAAAGTTTTGACTTGCTGTGCCCCTCCTGCAATAGCTCCATGACCCTAGTGGCTCCCAACCCCCACTTTGGGAACCATGGCGTAATGGATTTTATTCACTCCATCAGAAGCGTATGAAGCGATCGCCAACTAACCATCACTGCTGTCTCAGATAATTTGCGACTCCTAAGAAATCACCCCTTTAATTAAACACTGCTAATTCTCACACACAGTTGCATATGTGCTTAAATAAACATAAACACATTTCAACTAAATCATTTAGCATGCACATATATATATACATATAACTGTGAGTTATTTACACCGACAATTGCAATTATGAATGGCAAATAATGTGATTTTTATTTACAGCTATTTTTTCTTTGTGTCTCTCTCTCTCTCACTCAGCCAGATGCTACAGTAATTTTCATTGATTTCCAGAAAATGTTGCAGACAGTGCAGTCAAGGACGAATACAGTGAAAATACACAACAAAGTAATAACAAAATACAAATAATAACTATTGAATTGTTAAATAAAACAACAACAACAAAAAAAACAGCCTAGATGGTTATATCTCATGTGTTTTCAAAGGACAAACAATACAAGAATAGAAATGTGAGAATGCCTGCTCACACAGACATGTTACTAGCTTGCCAAAAGATAAATATATAAAACTAAAAAACCTCACACATACATTTACGCACGTACGTAAACAAAAACAAATGCAAATTGCCATTAGAAGTATTATTATCAGAGTTTTGCCAGTTGCAAAAATGAACAACAACTCAAAAACATTTCTTTTTCTTTTTTTTTTTGATATCGTCCTAATCCTCTTCTGCACTGTGGCATTTCCGAGTCAGGGGAACAAAATATAATTTCAGGTCTGATCCCTTGTACTTGAAGTTGTTCTAGTATCAGCTAGCACACAGGTTGCAGGGCTCAGGGGAGCAGCATAAAGAGTGGGTGCAGGTGTATGTGGCCATGTGAGACTGCAGGTGTAATGCATATCTAATGCGAGACATGGAGAAGGTCAAGCACGCTGGGAAATGAAAGCCATTAAATTCCTATATTCCCACAAAGCTCTGATCTTTTTTTTCCCCTCCCATTTCAGTCAAATACTAATGTTTCTGGACGAAGACAGGCGGTTTATATGACCAGTCACTTCCTGTTTACACTAACATTTCTTTATCAAGTTATGTATATATAACAGAATGTATAGCAAAAATGAACAACCTAATCTGGTTTCTCTTTTCGGGTGCAGGAAGAAGACATGAAAGAAAAACGTACATTTTTTCAAATTTGTCTATAGATTTTAAGGCAGGTTTTGTGTTGACTCAGTCAACAGTCCAAATAAACCTCAATATCCACACAACACCAGACATTACATGGAATCCTACACGTACTGGAGCCCAAAGCTGCACAAGTTCATGTGGAGCTGGAGGGACACCATATTCAAATGACACAAATCTACATTTAACAAGACTCTCACACCACAACACTCTAACCTCCAAATGTAACAAAACATGACCACTAAATCACACATACACACACACACAGTGTGATTTCCTGTACTATCGTTAGTAGTGCTGGTCCACAGAGCAGAAATCCACATGAAGGAAACGGTGGAAGAGTCATTACCTGGCCCACTAGCCATGAGCCAGCTTCTCACGTCCGTGGACAAACACTCTCTCTCACTCACACGCACACTCATGCACACACGCGCGTACAGACACACTGCTGTCTCCCTTATGAGACATGTGAACTGCGTAGTATGCTGTCTTCCTTATGAGACATGTGAACTGCGTAGTACCTGGCCTCAGGAGAAGGAAATCTCTAGAGCGTTCCTACTTGGTGCTTTTAATGCAAAAAAACCCAGCTGAGTGGAAAATTACACAGTGACACTGCTGCTGAAAGTTTGACTGTAGTGTAGGTGTAAAGTCAGGTCATGGAGAAAGTACTGCTTTAAATACACACAGAATGAGTAGAAGGAAAAGAGCTTGTCTTTATCTAATAAATGTTGAAAAACAACTAGGAGTAGCATTCATCTGAAATAAATATTTCAATAAATATTCAATGTTTGACACACTACAAAGTACCAGTAAATAGTACACAGCCACAAATAGTATTGAACCTATATTTGGAAAATTGTTGCGTTAGCAGCAGATATGCTGTTAACAAACTGACCCTAGCAAGCACCAAGCATGTGGTTCCTCTGGGAATTAAACTCAGAACTCTCTGCTGTGTGCTTCCGAGGCAGACATGCTAACCGTTACACTGTGGGACCAACTAAAAGCTGCGCCCAACATGGGGCTCAAACCCTCGACCCTGAAATTAAGAGTCTCATGCTCTACCGACTGAGCTAGCCGTCCATGTCTATCTATCCATGAGAACTGCATAGATAGAGATGGTCAGATTTAACCACTGAGGTGGTTTAGACATACAGTAGTGCATATGGTGTGAGTGGAAACTTCCAGCAACTCACCACCTGGAGAAGGTCAGACATGTTGAAGTTTGTCTGCACTATTGAATGATCTTAAAGAGAGGAAAACCCATCCACAACCATATCACTGCCATTCCTTCCTCCATAGCACATATAATAACCAGGCCACACGCTGCCAGAATTGGTTAGCACTGTGTCTACCAACAAGAAGAACTCGTGATTCGATTCCCCACAATTCAACAAAAAAAAAAAGAAGTGATAGAAAATTAATGAATGGATGAAAGATGAATGAATAAATGAATGATGTATGATCTCTTTGCTGCCTGTGACATGGTGGCAGGTGGCTCAGGATTAGCTTCACCAGGTATAAATGTACACGTAGTTCTGTTTTTCTTCAGCTGCCTGATAGAATTAATACACAAATATGAAAAGTAAAGGCAGAAACTCATGCATATTCACTCCCTGTCTTCTCCAAATCCCACATTTTATCGGCATATGCCTCCAATCCCTTCAACTGTCACCACACACATCTTATTCATTCCCTCTGTTTCAAGCCTCAGTCCCACAGTCTGGTTTTTGCTCCAGTGGATAAGAGCCGTACACCTGCTCCACTGTGAGAATATGTTTCAGTGTGGAGCCGCACTTCCCTGTGTCTCCCTGTGTGTGCTGAGGTGACAATAGGTGACAGCGAGCATTGGTCCTGACTTCAAAGTGTGTGTGTGTGTGTGTGTGTGTGTGCAAGACAGAGAGAAAGAGAGAGAGAGAGACAGAGACAGAGAGAGAGAGAGAGAGATTGTGACAATTTAGAAAGAACTGGGAGGTGCAAAACTCCGTTCCATCCTGATGCCCCTGTCACTTCCTGGTCTTGTTCCTTTCTCTCAAGTTCCCTCAGCATCCAATAATTCAGTGTGTGTGTGTGTGTGTGGGTCTGTGCATGTGTGTTTTGTGGGGATAAGGCCAAGGGTAAAACCAGTCACCCTGACACAAGGGACGGCCATCGTCCCCTGGGGGAAAAGGACCTCAAATTCAAAGAAACCCCTTTGAATATATATGATTTTTACAGTGGGTATTTTTGACTATTTCTTTATCCCATTTTAACTCTTTTCACCAAAACTATTAGTCTGGCCTGGTCCTTGTTATTCTACTCTTGTTACCATGCTAACATGCTAACATGAGATGCAAACCTCACACTATTAAATATCTTTAACAATCAGAATATTACAGCTATTGGAAAAAAGAAACAACAAATGTTTTTGTTTGGAGTCAAATCCCATTAGAAGTTATGTAACCTTGGATTTATTGATAATAAAAACT